CTTTATTTATAAACAAACTACAATCTTTATTAACAACATCCGCTCAAATCAATCTATTTATAAACAAAAGGGAAAAATTCTTCATCATGGTGCAGGGGGTGGAGGTTGACTAGAGGATGAGGAGGCTGTTGAGAAGTTCTTCATCATGTTGAAAATCTCTGTCATGCGGTCTCCAATGATGTCAACTGTTTCTTCAATTCTTGATGCAAACATGTTGAAATCACTTTGCAGTTCTTGCATTTGCCTCTCACTACGTAAAAAACGCTCTTCTTGAAACTTTTTCATCCGCTCAAATCTGCTTTCTATTTCCTGTAAGTATGAGAAGCCATATCTTCTACATTCTCAGATGGTCAAGGTTCAGTACCCGTTCTTCTTCTTTTGCGCACATAGACTTGTCCTTCAGTAACCCCTTCTGGAATACTGACCCTTTCTGGAATACTGACACCTTCTTGAACCATTGCATCTCCCTCCATTTCATCCCTAATAAGATACCATTGTCCTGCCACATTCTTTTTAATCAAACCCACTCTATTCAATGTCACATCCCCCAACACATTAGTTGTAGAAAACGTAATCTTATTTGTTGCATCATTAGGGGTAATCTCAATATTCAACTTCTCACATATTAACGTAACCAGCATCCCCCAATATATTTCTCCTTTCTCTGCAGGGATCTCTCCCAACTTCTTAATCAATAACTTTGCTGAATTAACTTACCTCCTTGCTACTGCTGCTTCCATGAGCATTAAATCCTTAACCGTCATATTTCCATTTGTCTCTTTCCTACCATTAAATGTGAAAGTCAGGTATCTGTGAAATACTCTCATAGCAGGATTCTTTAACTTTGTAGATTTACACCTATGTGGATGGTAAGTCCCTATCCCGGAAACATCAATCCAAGCTTGTTTGGAATCCCAGGTTCTGGATACGTTTTCCAAACCTTCACAATCAAATCCTATCCAGGTTGTTAAATCTTGTGGTGTCACTACAAAGTTCTGATTCTTTAATCTAAAGAACATTGTATACGCCTGAAACTCATCACTATCTATCTCTGCAACTTCCAAACTACCAAAAAACTCATTTATCAAATGCTTATATCCATCATATCTCATACTGACCAAACGCCCCCATTTCAAATTATTAATCCAACCATTTATTTCATCACCTAAACCTAAACTTGTTAGAAGTCCTAAATCCAAACTTCTTCCAAGGCAAATACCTCTCTTCGACACGTCCTCGTATTGTTTTTTATGTCACAAGTCTCGAAATTGAATAGCAGATGACGATGTCCCTTCATGAGGAATGGTTGTATTTTTTACCCTCACCATTTTCTGCTTTCTTCTAAAACCAGTATACATAAAAAAGTCGTTATCATAATCTGCCAAACCTAAACCAACATACAAATATCACTAACTTCTGTCATACAGATAGATCAAAGGGTATGACTATAAGATAAGTCAGTAAAGAAATCAATAAATTGGAGAGAGAAAAAAAAACTGAGCAAATAAAATTTCAGAAAGACTAATCTGTCAAATGCTATTCTAATATGAACCAAAACATTGTTACAATATAGCATCTGTTCAGAATTGTTTACAAAGATGCTTTCTGTTCAACAAATCAAAAAACAGATACAAAGAAACACATTGGTTATTGTAGTTGAAAACACATCTCAAAGGTACACATTGGTTATTGTAGTTGAAAACACATCTCAAAGGTACAAAAATTCCTTCTCCAAGTACTATTCTTAAATTCAGGAAACACTTAAGATATTTTCTATGCTATTGAAAACAGTTTGGGATAACACATAAATCATTTCTTTTACTGTTAGACTTTTTGCAATATGGTCCTACACTTTTCATATAATTTC